CCAGGCCGCGAGCTATGCCTGGATTATTAGGTCCGCGGATCACGGAGCCTACGCGCGCACTGCTGGACGTGGGCAACCACGCGTTGATTCTACAAGGGGGGCGGCGAAGTGCAGGTCCAATGGCATGGAGGCACAATCCGCATCCTTTCCGGGCGGACACCCCGACGCGGTCACCGACGCCTTCGATAGTTGCGCAGTCGAGCGGCGGGGCCCCAGACCGCCCAGTACAATTGCGCGCTCACACCGACTACAAAGATATGGATACCGAGGACACTGCGCTGCCAGCCGCGGCCGCCTCGGCTGCGGAGGCCGAGCAGCTGGCCCACCCTCGGCCCCCCGCGCGCCGAGCCAGGAACCGATCGTAAACGAAACCTGCTCTCGCGATTGAGCCTGCGTCTTGCATGACACGAACTCTTGGGCAGCATGATTAGACTATGTGTGCGACGCATCCTACCGCTCATACCTTCCGCCCACTACTCAGTATTTCTCAGTGAAGTCGTTCAACGCAAATTCGGACATGTTCGGGCCGCGATGCCGCCTCGACTTCTTTCCGCTGCTTGCAAGTACAAGCGTGCCCTCGGCCCGGCCCATGTGCCTCTGCTCGCGCGCGTTCGCCTGAGTGCACCACGCGCAGCGATGGACTTCGTTGGCAGAATTACCGCGACGATTGTGAACTCGACGCGCCCCCTCCCCAGTAGGCGCGAGACTGGTCAGCGCCCGTCTCTGCGGGCTGGGACTCGAGCCAGAATCAAGCGCTCATTCACCGCCCAAGACAGCGTTTCATATCGCAACGACAGTCCGTCGCGGTGCCAAGTTGCATTGCGCGTGCATGCCCACTGGGCCTCGTGCGCCAAGCCAACTGGAACGCGCTGCCTGGGCAACGCCGGGGCCCCGTCGCACCGGGCGGGGGCCGCATCATCCGAGCAACACATGCGGGAGCGAAGCGAATGAAAGCAGAAGTGCTGCGATCACTCTACGTGCGATTGGCGAAGCGTCTTGGATGAGAAGGAGCAGCACATGCCGCTGCTCAGTCCGAGCCTACGATGGTCAGGCCCACGGATAGTCTGCCTAGCTGCTCCGTTTGCGGGCCCCCGGCAACCTTCGACCAGTCTCGATCGTCAGCCCGACAAGTCCGACGCGCATGCGAATGCGGATTTGAAAGACAGCATGAACGGCAATAGCGATGACGATAGAAGTAAGACGAGCCAAGGCAGCATTTTCCGAGGGACTACCGCCGGCACAAGCAGAGCACCCTTGCGGAAGATGTTGGCTTGCAGATTCCGCCGGGAGCACCGTGGCCCGCTATCGAGCGTTGTTCCGCGCCGACCGACACCCCGGCGCGGACTAGTTGTCCGATTTCAGTTGCAAGCCTATCACCCACACGAGTCACACACACACACACGAACCCAATTTGCAATATTGGCAGCTGTCTCGCCAACACTTCCAACTGGCAGCAGTAGACAATGTCACACGAAACTGGGCAGTACGAGTGGGCGGGCAAGACCACCTGTAGGGCGATCGCCCCGCTGCCTCCCCGTTCTTCGCCACGGGAGAAGGTGCGCGAGCCGAGGGGCGCAAGAAGCATGGTCACACTCCCATCAAGCGCCAGAAAATCGTCGAATACACCTTGTCGAAGACACCTTCCACGTCATCGGCGATGATCTATCAGGATTTGGAACGCAGGAAAAATTGACGAAGCTGGCACAATACGTACATATTCTACAAGCTAGCGTGCTCTCCGATGATGGGCACATGGCCGTGACCTGCGCGGCCGACACCGCGGTCGGTCTCCGATTCGCATTTTCCATCGCAGTTGACCCGGCCAACTACCTAGGGCAAGCCATCGCCATGGCCTCCACGCGGGGTTAGGAGATGGACCTCTGCGAGTTGTGCGGAGGCGAAGCCCGCGCCTCGCACATTGCCGGGCGCCATCAAGTTAAGGCGCCTCGACCTTGCGAAGCTGCGAATTGGGCGGCCCACAAGAACAACAACGTTTCTTCAAGTACCTCAGGCCCAACAGTGTACTGCCAGTAGTGTAGCAAAGGCACCATCACGCGGCAGCACTGGACCCCAGTGGCCCCAACGATCGCATCAATAACGAGACTTGGAGGCCACATTATCAAGAGGACTCTCCCCGCATCATGTTCTGCGGCCAGGTGGCGGCCACCAGATGCGAGAGGATAGGTTCTCCTGCGTGGAACAGCCGAGCCCCTCTTGGCCGGGTACCGCACCGGCTTGGATTCAGATCTCACAAAACGAACAGGTGGACACGGTGGTATTCGACCAGGACAAGAGCCCATGCAGCCCCCCAGCCAACAAGTCCTCTCTAGCCATCGTCATCGCCACATCTACGCACGTGGTGCAATGCATTGCTGCGCCCAGGAGATCGGCGGGCAGCTCGACCTTGCTCTAGGCCGGGCTCTACCCGGCTACAGGATCACGAGTCATTCCAGCTGCACTCAGAATTCGAACGCCTGGCAGCAGCACCGCCGCCAGCACCAGCAGCCACTCCAGCGCCGACCAGAAAGTCTCGAGTTCGGCCAAAGCCATGGGGTGCCTCGACTCGGGTGTCTGGCACCCAGGCACCTGTTGGGCCCCAGCAGCCAAGCAGGCAGCCAATGCATCGAACGCGAAACGATATCCGGAACGCCAGGCTGCCACGGCAACCGCAAGAGCCTGAACCCGCGACGCATTATGGCCCTAGGAAAAAGTGCGGCCCCTCTGGGCATCGAGTCGCCGTGCCCTTGCCACGGCTGCATCCGTGGTCCGCCACGCGATCGGTCTCGCCCTACCCTGACCACGGTGAGCGTCCAGAAGGACGCCGCTGGTTCGGCGAACCCGCCAAGACTGCACGCGAGCGCAGAACCAGCCAGAGCGGGGCCTTCCCCCGCGAGGCACGAGTGCGGCAAAGTTCACGACCCTGCGGCAGAGAGCCCTGCATCCCACGTGAATCCTGATACAGACGGAGCCCAACATATCGGGGCCCTATCGAAGACCCAGCAGCACCACCTCCAATGCGCGACGATCTCGTTGACGGCGACGAGCCACCCCACCGCCAGATCCCGCTCCTAGAACACCTCGACCACAAAGACGAGTCGTTGACGCTGCTACTGGACACACGCCAGAGGACTGAACGAACATCGACGCCACGCTGTGCTTGCACATGCCACGCGCAGGTGACGCACCACGGACACCAGATAAATGCGCGAGTCACAGATCCGCTGGTGGCACGCGAGACAGACACAATTGAGAGAGATATGCGTTGCCAACGACTGTGCTTCCTTTGCAGGAGGGGTTGGCCCCATGGCCGCTTTGGCTCTGCTCCCGACGGGCGCCGCGGCTCACGGACCAGGATCGAGATTCCCTGACCTCGGTCCTCGGCGCGCGGCATGCGGATCGTCTCCCGAAGATTCGCCAGCTCTGGCATCAGCCCAAGGTTGCGGAAGACGCCTGCCGCCTTCGCCATCGGGTAGAACAGGGCGGTGTCCTGCGCCTGCGGCCAAGGCGAGCCCGCCTCCAGCGCATTGAGGACGCCGGCGACTCGCAGCACCGTGGGCGCCTCCCTCGCTCCAAAGGCGCGGGTGCCACCCTGACTCGCCGAGTCCCGTCCTGGGCTCGAGGCGGCCGCAAGCCTCCAGCACCTGCCTCGGAGTGATGGGCCGCGATTTGTATTCCGCCCACTCGCGGGCGGTGGGCGGCTGCAACCACGGGGCTCGATCGTCCAGGGCCCCCCCCCCCCCCCAGATGCTCTCCAAGCCCTTCAGCGCTGCCTCCGCGACCTTCTGCGGGCTCGCCAGCTCGCGGCCCTCTCGCTGTCGTCGGCCGCCTTGCCCGCCCGCGGCTGCCATGGCGCAGGTGCCTTGGTCCACTCGTGTAGTGCGCCCGCTCCCTGTACTCCGTGCTTGACCGCCCACTGCCGCCGCTGGGCGGCGGGCGCGCGGTGGGCAATTCCCCAGTATCGCTTGCTGGCAAGGTCCAGCAGGGCGTAGCCCGGGTAGCGCTGGGCGCCCTCTTCGATCTTGCTGAAGCGCATGTCTTGCAGCGCGTGCGCGATGAGCGGCCAGCTGATCGCGCCCCAAGTGATGCGAGCCTCCTGGGGCTCATGGCCCCGCAGCTCGTCTTCTCCATCCAGCTCGCCGCCTTCTGGGGTCTCGCTCCCGTCGGTCTTCTGCCCAGGCGCCTGCGCTGCGAGCAGCGGGAGGGCGATGTCGTGGCTGAGGAGGCCGTCTGCCATGTGCTGGTCTCGCCTCCTGGCGCCCTCATTTCTTCCTCTGCTGCCGCGCTCGGGCGAGCGCCTGCAGCTGCCTCAGCCGCCGCGCTAGCCACTCGGCGCCCTCGGCCCACTGCTGCTGCTCCGCAGCCGCTGCGCAGGGCTCGGGCCTGCGCTGCTGCCACTTGTAGTTCTCTCGAAGTTGCCCTGGCGCGTGCTGAGGTCCTCGCCCTCGAAGCCGCGGCGCCTGTTCACGTGTTTCTCGTAGGCGGCCCGCGGCTCGCTCTAGCGCCCGTCGATGTGGCCCTGTGTGTACTCCCTGTTGCTCGCCGGTGGTCTTGGCCATCCCGCCGGATGCTTTGGGCATCCTGTCGGGCGCGTCAGTGACCAGGGTTTCCGCCTGCGCGGCACGTAGACATCGCTGGTGCCATGGTGGCGCACGGGCACCGCCAGCTTGACTGGCAGGCGCGGCGCTGCGTCGTAGCCTTCCATTATCTGCACCTTGAGCCCTCCGTCGCCAGGCCGCGCGAGACGATGAAGTAGTCTCGCACGCTCCTTTCGCCGCCTGGCCTCGCGCAGGTGCCCGTGTTGGCGTCGCGCGCGATGACCCTGTTCACGTTGCCGACGATTTCCGAGCTCTCGAGCACCTCGGGGTCCATGTTGGAGTCGCCCCCGAGGACCCACTCCTGCTGGAGTGCGCCCACGGCGGGGCCCCACTTCGCCAGGGTAAGCTGGTTCCGCTCCACGAGGCTCTCGTTGTTTCGCACGTGGGCGGTCCCGCAGATGAGGCCGTCCTGCTGTAGGCGTCGACCCAGGCCAATGCGAGTCGCCGCTTGGACTCGCGTGGGCTGATGTCCCACTGGTTGATCCCCTTGCGCACGAAGTCCATGCCCCTGCTTCGTGCCGTCGCAATCAAAACTCCAGCGCTGTGTCCTGAGTCGGTCTCAGCGCTGCTCGCAGTTCCTGTGTCCCACCCCTGTTTGCGCATGCGTGTCTGGGACAACTCTAGCCGCGCGACACTGGTCTGCAGCTCTTGCCCCAGGACGATGGCGTCCTTGTCGTCGAGCCTGGTGATCTGCATCATGGCGCGCTCCAGCGAGCCCACTGTGTTGGCGTCGACCGCGTGCGCAGCCAGGCTCGCCTTCGGCCCTCGGCGGCCGGCGCCGCCGCTACCCTCGCGCGAGTAGCCGCGGCTACTTGCCGACGGTGATCGCGCAGCCTGGCTGCAGCTCGCCAACTAAGAACTTGAGAGCACCCACCACTTTGTCAGCCTGCTCAGGAGTGACCCCCGCGCCAATGAGGGCCTTGCTGATGTCGAGCTCACTGGCACCCGCCTCGAGCTCGATGAGGTCCTCCTCGGCGTATCCGCCGTCGGGGCAGCGGCGCTTGTCGGTGTCGACGCTGGCGCTGCGGTCCCTGTCGGCGCGCTCTCGCGCGGTGCTGGCTGCCCGTTCCGCCTCGGCTTTCTTGAGGCGCTCGGCGTGCTTGGCGGCCGCCTCCTCCTTCTTCTTCTGCTCCTTGGCGTGGTCCAGCGCGGCCGCGAGCTGCTCGTGCTGCTCGGTGCCGCTGTCCAGACACTTCTCTGCTTGCTGTGAGAAAGCCAGCGCAGCCGCCCACCCCTTCCCTGGCGATGGGGCCGCCAGCTCCTCGATTCGCTCGTTGAGGCCGTCCAGCTTCGCATTGAACCGTTCCATCTTCGCTGTGTGTGCCCGCCTGCTATTCCTCGAGTGCGTCGATCCTCTGCTGGCACCGCGCCTTCTGGTATGCGACTATGTTGCGGTCTCGCACCATCCTGCATTCCGCGAAGCAGCATGGCACTCCATTGTCAAGTGATTCCTGCTCGGCGGCAAGCTTCTCCTCGAGCTGCGCCAGCTGCGGTTGCAGGGCCTCCTCCAAGAACGGGTCCTCGGCGAGTTTGCGTAGCTCGGTAAGCTTGGCACGGTGGTGCTGAACTTTGGCGAGCTGCTCGTCGTGATGTTGGTCCTCGACGGGGTTCCTGGCCGCTGGGCTGGGGCCTGAGCGCGCCGATGTCGGTCGAGCACCCCGGCACTTCCAGCAGGATCCGTAGCGCGCGCCGTTGTCGACCTGGCACTGGTCACAACGCCACTTCTTGCTGCTTGTGCCGCCACCGCCATTCTGCGCTTTGGTGGCAACCATCTGCCCGACACTCGTGGCCACTCTGAAATCTGAGTGTCAGTACGCGCGGGGGCCTGCTGCAGGCGAAAGGGCATCCGAGCGCAAAATGGCTGGATGAGGTGGATGGGAGGAGGAGGAGGAGGAGGAGGAGGAGGAGGAGGAGGAGGAGGAGGAGGAGGAGGAGGAGGAGGAGGAGGAGGAGGGTGAGGGCGAGGGCAGTAGGGAACGCGTCAGTCGAGCCGACGCGCCCCGCTGAGGAGGAGGAGGAGGAGGAGGAGGAGGAGGAGGAGGAGGAGCAATAGGTGAGGTGAGGCGAGCCGAGGCGGGGAAGGTCAGGCAAGGCGAGGCGAGGTGAAATGCTTCGAGGCGAGGCGGGGCAAGCTGAAATAGTATTGCAGAGGCGTCCGCCGACATCACCGTACGCGAGGGAGGGGCGGCGAAAGGTAGCGCCAGCAAAGACTAGTACAACACTTTTCCTCAAGCGCAGAGGTCTCACATGTGCTGTGGCGGCGAATGTCTTTCGCTGGTGGGTGGACCTCGGGGCTGGACGCGACGCGCGCGCTGGCCCGCACAAGCCCAAGTCCCCAAGACCAGCAAACAAGGCGAAAGCAGGGGAGGAGGGAGGGAGAGCTTGAGACGGGAACACACACACACACAAATCAAACGAGTTTCAGTCGGGACAGCACGCACCATCTTCGTACAGAGCCCCCCTCGTCCCCTCACCAGCGCCCCCCGCCCCGCCCCCTTATGGCGGCGGAGGCGGGGGAGGAGGTGAAAGACGAGGCCCGACAAATTCGTGGTCCAGGGACAACACAAATTCAAAGGCACCCGTCAACATCACCGCACGTGAGGGAGGGGACGGCGGAAGGTGGCGCCAGCATAAAATAACGCAAAACTTTTCCTCGAGCACAGAGGCATCACACGTGCTGTGGAGGTGAATATCTTTCGCTGGTGGGTGGACCTCGGGGCTGGACGCGACACGCGTGCTGGCCCGCACAAGCCCACACCACCGCACCACCAGCGTCTGGCCGTGATGTGCCGGGCTGGGCGGGAGGGCGCACAGACACGGCCTCAATTGAAACATTAACAAACAGTTGAACTGACGCGAACCGTGCATTGGCCAAAACACTCATCATTCTCTTGCTTGCTCAGGGCGTCGGCTGGCGCGCAGCAGCTCTGCACCTTTCTCCAGGATATCCGCTGGCACGGCCTTTCTCACAGCGACAAGGGCGTGGGTCTTCATGCACCTCATCACACTCTTCTCGGATGCCCACCGTCCTCTCCGCTGTATCTGCCATACCGTCCTGTAGCCAACAGCCGCATCGTGACTCGGCCCCGAATGGCGGGCCGAGTGGGCTGGGAAAGCCGCCACTCCCACGTCGGCGCAGGCTTGGCGTAGGACACGTCGGTAGCGGTCGGCCGTCATACTGAAGAGTAGTTCGTCTTGTTTCCTCGAGCTTCGCCGTCGTAGTACCATCTGGGCCACATGCTGACGGTCAATCAGGACGCCTTGCCTCACCCCTGTCTTGGCTCGCTCGCCCCCCGCTCGATCACGCCGAGGCGGAGCGCAACCAGGGAGTTCCCGTCAACGCCGTCGGTGACCATCACGTCCCCGACTCGCAAGCTGAGGAGCTCGGCCGAGCGAAGGTGGGCATCCAGTGCCAGCTCGAACCCCTCGGCGACCTCGACATGTCCAGAGACTCGCATCGTCTCCAGCAGCACCGCCCACAGCTTCAGCGGCTGAGGTCCGCCCTCGCCAGCCACGTGCATGCGGTGCAAAGCCTTCAGCGCGTGGTTCGCCCTCGGCAAGCCGGTGCTCAGCTCGGGCCACACTTTTTTAAAACCAGCTCGAGAAGGTCGCCCCGTGGCTAAAGGAAGAGGAGGGCAGTAGCAGCGGAGGGGAGGGGAGGAGGAGGGAAAGCAACAACAAAAGCAAGCAGTGCAGGCGCGGCCAGGCCAGTGCCTCCGCGCGCCCCGGCCTTGCGGGGCGCGCGCCCCCGCCGCGCGGCCGGGGGCCCCGGCAGCCCCGAGGGCGCCGCCGCCGCAGCCCGCAGCGCGGCGGCGCAGCAGCGCTGGGCGCTGCTAGGCTGGCCCGGCCGGCCGCGCGGCCTCGGCGGCCGCCTGCTGCCACTGCAGCGCCCGCCCGCGCGCGGCGGCGTCGGCCGCGTCGCGCTCCACGAGCGCCTCGGCGGCCGCCAGGAGCCGCCCCCGCGCCTCCCGGAAGCTGAGGCCGCGCAAAGCGACCCCCAGCAGCGGCGCGAGCTCCCGCGCGGTGGCCCAGCCGCCCGTGCCCAGGCGCTCGCCGAGCGCCCCGGTCAGCTCTGCGCGGGCGAGCGCGAGGCAAGCGGCCTCGTCGCCCGCGGCGTGGCCGGCGCTGGCAAGGCCCTCCTCCGCGCCGCTGCCCGCCGGTGAGCACGCCAGCGGCCAGTCCGCGGGGCGGCGCCGGCGCGAGCGGCGGTTGGAGCGGCTCTCCGGGGCTGGCTGCCAGCCCTCCGCCGCTTCCGAAGCGCCCAGAACGCCCGCGCCCGTGGGGCCGCGGGCCGCCCCCGCCCTGGGGCGCTCGCCGCGGCCGCGCTGCCGGGGGCGCCGCGGGCCGCCTCCGCCGCGGAGGCGCTCGCCGCGGCGCCGGCCGCCGTGCCGTCTCGGATCGGCCGCCGCTGGTCGCCTCCGAAACGCCCAGAGCGCCCGCACCAGCGGGGCCGCTGGCCGCTCCCGCCTGGGAGCGCTCGCCGCGGCCGCGCTCCCGGGGGCCCTTGCCGTGGCGCCACCGCGCGAGCGGCGCTGCGGGCCGCCTCCGCCGCGGAAGCGCTCGCCGCGTCGCCGGCCGCCGTGCCGTCTCGGCCGCCGCTGCCCGCCTCCGAAGCGCTGGGCGCGCCGCGGGCCGCCCCAGGGGCGCTCGCCGCGGCGCCCGCCAGGCGCGCCTCCGAGGAGCCTGCGCGGGCCGCCTCCGCCGGGGAGGCGCTCGCCGCGCGCGCGCCAGCAGCAGGCGTGGCCAGCGGCGTCGCCGAGCTGCCGCCGCGGGCCGCCTCCGGGGAAGCGCTCACCGTCGGCGCGCCGTGCGCAGCCGGCGAAGGCGCCTGCTGCTGGCCGCCGGCCGCTGCCGGCCGCGGCCCGCCCCCGCCGCCTGGGGTGCTGTCGTCCTCGGCGTCGGCCCAGGAGGGTTTCGGCGCTGGCCCGAAGCCCGCCCGCGCCGGGTCGAGCAGGGTGCGCCCCCAGGGGCCGTCGAGCGCGTCGTACGACCCCTCAAGGTCGTTCTCGCTCCCGCTGGGGGTGCGCTAGCCCGTGGTCAGGGGCCAGCTGTCCGGCTCGTCCGGCGCGCCCGGCCTGGCCCCTCCTGGCGGGGCGCTGGCGCTCCGGCCCGCGCTCAGGCGCCCGCCCGGTTCTGGCCCTGCCGCACCAAGGCGCCGCCCCCGATCTGCTCGACCGAGCAGGCCCAGCCGGCACACCGCAGGATTTCGGAAGATCCGCCGCCGTGCTCCCGGCGCCCTGCCGCGCGGGCTCCGCAGGCGCTGCCGGCGGGGCCGCCGCCGGCGGAGCCGCGGCTGGCGCGGCCAGAGCCGCCGCCGCTGCGGCCGGAGCCAGTGGAGCCGCGGCCGCCGCTGTCCCGGCCGCGGCGGCCGGCGCGTCTGGTCCCGCCGCGTCGCTCTCTGCTTCCTCCTCGCTCGACTATAGGAGTAGCTCGAGGAGGGCTTCCCTCTGCTTGCGTCCCTTGCCAGGTCGGCCGCCGTCGCCGCCCAAGGCTTGGAAGGCGGCGGGCTGCCCGCCGGGCTCCGTGCCCGCCTCGGGGGGGGGCGCCCGCTCCTCCTCCCGGCGCCGCGGCTGGGCCTCCGGCTGGCGCGGGGGGCGCGGCGGGCTGCGGCAGTCCCCGCCGCTCGGCGCCCGGCCAGGGTGGCGTCCAGCCGTCGCTCTTTTTGCCGACCGGCTGCGCCGTCGGTCCTCGTGCCAGGGGGCCAGTCGCTCCTGCCCCGGGCGCTGCAGGCAGCGGCCCGGACCCGCCGGGTCCGCGCGCGGGGGAGCTCGCCAGCTGCTCGCCGGGGCCTCCGCCGCCTTCGCCGCGTGCAGCCGCAGGCGCCTCCTCGACCCGCTGGGTGGGTTTGCCTTGAATTCTTCTGCTTCCGCCAAGCCGGGCCAGGCCGCGTGGGGCCCGGCACCCGGCGCGGGGGCGAGGAGCGGCCCCGCGCCCACGGCTCCTGCCAGCGGCAATGGGATGAGGCACCAGCCCCACCCCCAGGCCCAGCCCTCCGGGAGGCTGGGGAGGCCGCCCTGCTGCGCCGTCGCTGCGCCGGCGCCCGCCCCGCAGGGTCCGCCGTACATGGCCCGCCCCGGCCGCGCTGTCGCCCCATCCGCCGCGCCCCGCGCGGCCGAGGGCAGGGGGCGCGGCGCCGCCCAAGCCACCCAGGCCACCTCGAGCCGAGATGGCTTGAGCCAAAATGGCTTGAGCCAAAATGGCTACGGACTCAGCTCGGGCCACACGTAGGCCAAGCCATGCACCACAACGACCCCCCTGTGGGGACCGACTTCCCCGTCCTCCACGAGCTCGTCCAGGTAGACTAAGACC